GGGGTAGTTTTTTTATACCGCCAGTAGATGACAAGCAGGGGGAGGCGCAACCAGGGAAGCCACCAGCCAGATCGAGGTGAAGAAATGCTAGAGCTAGAGGAGAGATAGATAGAGAGAGAGGGAGAGAGAGAGAGAGAGAGTTGCTTTACATCAATTACAAGGAGTACCCGCTGACCCTTTTCAGAGTCGGGTGGGAACTTATTTGGATAACCTCCGGGGACATGCTATTTATAATACCCAGCTTACTGAGGGTATTTATTCACATTTGGGTGTGACACGACCACCTTCTATGCCACCACATTATCCTTATTTTCCAACATGTGAGGAGCTTTGGAATCCGTAGAATGATGGGGCAGGACCGAGGGGGAGCATAGGGACAAGGAGATGATGATTGATTTTCTTTTCTATTTAGTTTCTTTTCTTTTGTTTTAAGTAGTTTTGTTTTATGTTTGACTTTGGTTTGTGATGTAAGACTTTGTTAACCTATGATGTTACTCTTTTATTTCTTTTGGGTTGTTCCGTTTTTTAGATTAGCGTTGGAATTTTCAGAAGCATATAAGGCTAAGTCAAGAGTTGTGTTTGTCTACTCGAGTCAAGGAAGGTTAAAATCATGAGTTGGAACCCACAATTCAAGATAAGTGTGGGGTACGTTAGAGGGAGAGAGGTTACAGTTGGGAAGTATATTTACATAGAAGAGTGTTAACCCATTTAGACACCGGTCAAGCTGCTAGGATGAATAAAGCAATGCGGCATTTTTTTCTACGTTCAGTTTCCACGATGTGGGATTCTTACACCATGTTGTGGCTTTCATCCAATTTGAAGAATTGAAGAAGCCTTATGTTCGCGTTTTCATCTAAGGTCACGACATGGTATTCTCTGCCAAGACGCGAATCATTTCATACTTTCCTACATTTTTCTACATATTTGCACCCACTTTGAAGAATTAAAGTTTCGAGTCATGTTCGTGGTTTATCTACATATTCATCCAGTTCTACACCAACTTTATATTTCTGAGAGGTTTGTGTTTGAGATGCACGTTTTCCACGCTTTTGGAGATGGTCACACCACTATCCCAGGGGAGTCTGTTCCTTTTTCTCCCTTTTTCTCCCTTTTGATTTATTCTACGCATACAATGAGGGCATTGTATGAAATAAGTGTGGGGTAGGGGTAGAAAAAGTAAATTATTAGGAAATTTGAAACTTGAAATATTTAATAATTAAATATAGTAATAATAATTTGAAGTGTAGTTGCTGGTGTTATATGGGATGATCCGATAAAAGTTCAAATGTTTAGTTGAGCCAATACACGTTATAGTGCATTTGTGGCCTCCTTTATTTTAGTGAAATCATGGAACAAAAACATAACCCTACTTGGTTTGAGGGATGCAATATGTTTAGCATCCTAAACTTGAAATGTATCCAGGAAAGCTACATCTTAACCAATAAAGGTTGAAGTTGAGCGCCCCTGCTTAAGCATGTAGGCTTTGAGTGAAAAAGTGAGGTACATGAAAAAAAAAAGAGAATTGCAAGAAAAGTTTGAAGAATTTTGGAGCAACTAAAGTGAAGATCAAAAGATCAAAATTCCGAAGAAATTCAAAAAGTTGAAGATACCAGAAATCAAATCAAACAAGGTGGTGAATTCAAAGAAATCAAAGATTAAATTATTAAGGAAGTGAAGAATTCAAAAGAGTTCCATAGTGGTATCATTAATTGTAATTCTAAATTATGTATGCTTGGGTTGCTCAACCAAAAATACTTTGAGGTTAATTGAGATTTATGCGGATGGATTCGGAGGGTTGCATAAAATGAGCATTGTTCGAAAGAAGTGGGCGAGTGTTTATGAAGATTGTGAGTATTTAAATTATGGGGGGGGGGGGGGGGTACTTTAGGAAAATTTTAAACACAAATGCATGCGTTGAGGTCTTGGCATAATGGCTGAGCTGGAATCGGATCGTCCTATGTGATGTTAGTAATAAAGGGTTAAGTTTAGATTTGCTTGAGGGCAAGCAAAACCTAAGTGTGGGGTATTTTGATATTACCATATTTATACCTATTTTTAGGCAATATCTAAGTACATTTTTATTAATAAGTTGATAATATGTTTAGAATAATGATACTTATGACATTAAATTGTTATTTCCAGTCAATTAGAAGTATTTTCGAAGAGAGGGACCAAAAGCGACAATTTATAGAACATGGGAGACTTGGAACACAAGAGATGAATAAATCCATGAAAATTACTAAACCCACGACGTGGCATGAGTATTCTAGAAGATAAAGATCGCGTAAAGAAAAAGTCCTTGCCCGATACGGATTGCTTGGGGATCACGACGTGGCACGATATTTTTTGAGGATATTTAAGCAATCTTGGTTATGACGAATAGAGACTTTTGGTGGCTAGAGAAAGGGATTCCAGAAGGCGATTTTGAGCAGAAGAAAAGTCCTGGAGAGAAGCTTTCAACACCAAAAGAGTGAAGGTCTATAATTTAGGTTACTTATTTGTTACTTAGGAACATGTTTCAATATACTTTAATTTGTGTTAGTGTGTTAGCTGGTATTATGAGCAGCTGAATCTAGCTACTCTTGTTTAGCTAGATGAAGCTTCCAACTTATGAATAGCTTAATTTTTATGGATTTATTTAGTTGGTGAATTGCTTGTGTTGGATTTATAGTTACCTAGCATGCTTGTGTTTGTTTCTCTAGTTGCTTGATTCCATGTTCTGTGTAGCTTAGTGACCATTAACTGCATGAACTTGTTTACCTATTGATTTAGTGAAAATTAAATTATTAGAGCTAGGATTGACCAATCTTAGTTAGTAATTAGAGTAAATAAACATAGTTGTGTTAGAGAACGTGGATTGTGACTATAATTGCGTTTGTATAATAATTCTTACATAGCATATTCATGTTCATATTTAGCTCTGTGTTTAATTGTGTGTGACCATACGTAATTTGACATGAATTAATTAATTATTGGTAAAGTTAGACTTAAATTACTAATACAATTACAACCAACTTAATAATCCATAATTATTAGCTAGTCATAAGGACGAAGTGGATTCTAACTAGATAAGAGTGTTTTTACTTAATTGACTGAATTTGAGTTAAGTTCGTCTGATCTTGTAAAATCAAATAAAACCCTTTCTAAACTTGTTAATAATTAAGTTAATTTGATAGCAAGTAGATTAATTAGTAACACCGTTCCCTGTGATCGACACCCGACTTACCCAAGCTATACTGTAATCTGACTAGGTACACTGCTTATAAGTGCACAGTTAGTTTAAGTTTGTTAGGTTATAAATATTAAAATTAGTGGGTACTTTCGTGCACATCAGCTAGTTAGGATGAAACCTTGGAATATTTAATATTTGCATGTATAATAGAGAAAACATATATCCAACGTTTATAGGGTTGCATGTACACCATAGGAGAGTTAGAATGCTAAACGCCCAACACATACAACCCTCAATGTTGCGCATAAAACCAGCCATGCATGCATCAGGGGTGTCTCGGCGCTACGCTACGCGTAACTGGGAGTATGCACCGCGTACTCCTCAAACTTCCATTCCTCACTTCATTTGGTGTTAATCCATTATGACAAATGATACAACTACATATCTGAGCTAAATAAGGTCCATTACATCATAAAGTCGTGGACTTTAAGCCTTAGCATGGCTGAACAAGTCCCAAACTCACAAACTCTAACATTCTTAACATAAAGCTCCATAAAACTCATGCATGGAGAGATTTAGACGACTAAGCTCCCATTTTTATGAATGTTGACAACCAAATACACCTAAAAGGACAGGAATTATGCCGTGGAGTTCATCAAACTCACAAAGCTCCAAACTTGGGACATAAAACCCTGAAAATGGACCCAAAACATGAACTAACACAACAATGAGCAAGTTCTCAACTTGATACTTTTGGAAGATGCACCAACAGGGTAGAGTTTAGATCCAAGAGCTTGAAGCATAAGCTTTCCTTCTTTCAAAGCTCATTCTTCAGCAAAAGCTTCACAAGAACACTTAAATAAGCCACAAACACTCATACAAACAAGGAACACGAATTTAGGGTTTGAAGGAGGTTGGTGGCTGGAAGTGAGGCTATCATGCTGCTTAAATAGGGACACAAAATGGCATTAGGGTTTTACTCTGAGGCTAGTACGCCCAACGTACCCTCTTGTACGCCCAACGTACTAGCTGTCCTTTGCGATCATGCAAAGTACATGAGTACATTGCGCGTACACATGCATACGCCCCGCGTCCTCAATTGCCACATTTTTCTTAAATAAGGATTAGTCTTGAGAATTACATAAAAGATTAAGATCATCGAAGTATACCTCATTTCGGGATGTTACAAAAATTTTAAATTAAAAAAATTGAAAAAAAAATGAAATAAAAAATAATGGGTGCTATTATTTGGTGTTTTAGATTTCCACAAACAGTGTTATAAGACCATATATGATTAAGATAGTGAGATGACAACTATCAAATAGATTTATAAATATTGAAAAAGTGATAAGGCGTTGATTGTAAACTTCCCATTTTGATAATATTTAAAAAAAAATAAAAAAGTTAAAAAATGAATGGCATGCAAACAAATATATTAAGACAAGAAGAGCAGCAGAATGTTGGAAATGATACAATTGAAATGATACACTGAATATGAAACAAATCAGAACTAACAACCACCACACGATCTTAAAGTAGAAAAAAAAAAAAAAAAAAAAAAAAAAAAAAAAAAAAAAAACACCTGACAGAAACAAGTAGAGGAAATGCTAACCAGCCAAACAGACGACCATGCTAGAAATAATACAATTAGACAACTAATCTCCTTCAACACAGGGAATTAACAAGAAAAATCAAACACCAATAGCACTCCAGTACATAATTAACACCTTCGAAACCCACCCACATTCTACAAAGGTAACAGTAATGCAACCAATCGGAGGCAACGCCAAGAGAACCAACTATCAGCTAAACTTCAACAGCAACCAGATTAAAATGACCAAAAGTATCCCTAGAAGCAACAACAAAAAACGGAATATCTAAGCTCAAAAGAACATTTCAAAACCCAACAAGTTGAGAGAGCTTACTTTAGTCAATCTTCAAATTGGTCTCTAACATCTCAAACATTTCTAACAGTATAGATAGTTTGAAGTAATGTTAGGGCAAACAGGATCATAGCCGCAATGACTGTCAACGTTTTCCAGGTAGTACTTCTATAAAGGCGTCTCAGTGCAATTAGAATGCTAGGCCAGCAACGATTGCAATATTCATCCAATCGTTTCCATTCCTCAGTGTAATAAAAATCCCGAAGGACAACACCATTGCAAATATTGTTGAAGAGATTTGTGACATCTTCAATGGCTCCCAGATTATGGTGAAGGACTTGTGACCTCACAAGCAACGAAACATCATCTTTACTGTCAATGAGCTTGTCCATGAGAAAGGCAAAAGAGGTAACATAATGACGACTTAATGGGTAGCACTGCTCATAGGCAATGAGATTCCTCAAGAACGACGAGGTGGAGTCCTTGATGTACAACACTGGAATTTTGAAATAGGTTTCTCGAGCAAATAGAGTACTCAACCCGGGAACAAGAGACGATTGTTCAAATTTCACTGCAAGCAGAGAATCTTCATCCGTTTGTGCCTTGAATGTGACTCCTGCACCAGCGATTTCAGTAGCAGAGTAAGAGATATTTGGGACTCGGCCTCGCATGGTAGCTCTGGGAGTGTAGCAGCTTTGGAGAAGCCCGAGGATATGACAATGTTTTACTGTTTCGTCAACTGTGGTAAGTTTACGAGTACTTAAAATATTCATATCCTTGAAGAAATAAAACACAAGGCCAGTTAACGAAGTCCGCTCCAAAGTGATCCTACACAATATTTCAAGAATAAAGAAAGGCATTTGATTTTCTAGAAGCAGCAAATCGTGTTGAATGTCACGCATCACCAGAATATTGTCGAAAATTGGATCACCCTCTCCAATTCCATACTTGAACCTGTAGAGAAGCTCAAGTATGAAACAACCATCAATAACCATCATTTTAGCCAGCTTGAAATCTTCATAGTTTGTAAGACTTGGTGCATAGCAAGCTCTTGCATGTGTTAGATTGCGAAGCACTTCTTGTACGCAGTCATAAGTTATTTGCTCTATATCCTTCTTCGTGGATTCCACAGTTCGACAAAATAATCGATACATGTAAGTCACTTTGTGCTCCTCCATAGCTTTAAGATGTTGGTCCTCTTTGTGAAGAGGACCAATTGAAGCTTTTCTAGGTGTATAGGCAGTTGGGTTGAGATTTCGAAGTGTATCGGGTACCATAAAAATTGTGACATTAGATTGCTCGGATTGATTATGTCTTACTGATTCACCTTCTATCAGTAATCTGATGGAATCGTGAACTTTTTTTCTGTAATCGTCAGCTTCTGTTCCCATATTAATGAATCCCGTATAGCTTGTTTCGTTGTTGCTAACCGCAAACCTCTATACAGATAGATCACAATAAAACTTGTTAGAAATTACGAGTTTGCAACGAGCGAATAATCAACTTATCATGGTTTATGTCTAGCAAAAACCTTGGTGGAAGATGTACCTTCAAGGTAGGTTTTCTATAGGCCCCATATATATAATTGACATAGTACAGTTGTGTGTGTTCACATTCACATATACAGATAGATCACAATAAAACTTACTACATCATTCCAAAAAAAAATTGTTTTATATATATATAAAAAAATATTTGTAAATATATTTTATGTTATTGTACCTTTAATTAAAGAGATTATATCATGCTTTTTAATACTTCGAATATTATGACTACATAAAATATTTATTGACAATGTTTGTACATCATATAAAAATTTCTAGCTCCGCCACTGGGCTGTCATATACGGACACAAGCGGCTATGGTCATCACGCCTCAGCTGTGATGCAAAGATCGTGCCGAAGTGAAGGGTTTTCATGATAGTTTATTATAAGGATTAACATTTTCACTACAAGGATACGGAGCTATGCCAACGACACCTATCCCCCACGAGGCATGTCATCGATGCAAGTCCGCCTATCCCGACGACATGCCATCGCCATACCTTTTGCATACTTTGACTAAATTCTTTTGACCATGATATCTGTGCCGACGACAAGTCATCGCTACAAGTCTGGCGAGAACGACAAAATTGTTCGCAGTATTTTAAAAGTCTATATCGACGACTTGTCGTCGGGATAAGTATCGAAAAATCTATTTTCCTTTTATTTGTATTCCATGTTCCAGAAATATAGTACAATGTAGTTTTGTGTAATCTATACCGACGACAAGTCGTCGGCATGACATGTGGCGATCCGCGTGAAACAGCTTTCCCGACGACAAGTCGTCGGTACAGGTTTTCTAGTTTTTGTTTGTTTCAACAAAAAATGGAACGTCGTCGTTTATATAGACCCTATACCGAAGACATGTCATCGGCATAGGGGTTTACCCTAAAAAAAAAAAAAGCAGTCTTCGTTCATTTATACACAACAACGGAGGACCATCTCCGACGAAAATCAACTTCTAAATTCCATAACCAACGATTAGCCCCAAGTAACGTATTTTCTACTCCTGTTTCGTTTTTTATTGTTGTGTGGTAATGATTTTTACCACGAATTTGGGTTTTTTTTTTTTTTTTTTTGTGTTCAGAGTTTTTCACCGATGGTTAAGAGGTTTTGTTTCACCATTGTCCGTCTTCCACCGCCTCAGCCTTCCCCACCGACGAGTCGACCCTCCTTCCAGCTTCTCTCCTTCACCATCGTTCGTTTTTTTTATTGTAGGTAAGAAACTAATGGGTTTTTCATGTTTAACTTTTTTTTTTTTTTTTTTTTTTCTGATTTTATGTATTTCCAGTGACCGCCAGCCACCACCGAAGGATCACCATCAAGTTTGGCAAACGGATTCTATCCATCACAGCAAGAAGAACGAAACACAATAAGAAATAGGTTAGTTTTTTTTTCTTCTAATTTTTATTGAAATTGAAATTGTATATATGTATAAGTTTATATGAAATTGAAATTGAAATTGATCCTCCTATGATTATAGAATTGTGTTGTTTGGTTGGTATATGTATGATTGTGTTGTTTGTTTGGTATATGTATGTTATTTATTTGTTTAGATACATATGAAATTGAAATTGTATGTATACAATGTTAATTTACTAGTGTAGGTTTATATGAAATCGAAATTTTGTATGATTGTGAAATATGTATGATTATGATCTCTGTTTAGGTTGATATGAAATTTTATGTATAAAATGTAAAATATGTATGATTGTGTTATTTGTTTAGTTTATTAGCTTGAGTGAATGAAGTGATAAAGTGCTTAATTTTTAAGTTAAAATGTTTGTTATTATGAACAAATGTTACTAATAGCAACACAAAACAAAATATAAAATATTTAAACTAATAAAAGTACGTTTATTGAGAACAAAGTTTATTCAGTAAAAAATATTTAAACTACAAAGGTTATTAATAGCAATATACTTTTTTTAGTTTGTTTATTAAAATATTTTATTTTTATTTCTATTTGATAGTTATAATATAAAACAAAATAATAAAACTAGGTTGCTATTAAAAGTACGGTGCTATAATAAAACAAAAAAAAAACAAAATAATATTGAAAGTACAATGCTGTAATTGAAAAAAATAAGATGTATATATATACTATAAATATGAATGAGAAATGAAAAATAGAATGCTTTAAACAAACTAATAAAAGTACATTGCTATAAAAGTACATTGACTCATTAATTTTTAGTTTACGTCTCTTATTTGTAATCATTTAGAGCCTAGAAATACCCGACCGAAATTGATTTCGAAATTAATTTCAAGTTATCCCTATTTTGGGACTGCTTTTTGTATATTGTATCTCATTTAGGATGTGAATATTTATTGCATGATTGTTTGGTTAAGAAAAATTTGGTTGATATTTTCTCCTTGCTCCTCGGGTATAAATTTCTTTGTATACTTGGGAGCCAATGGGAAATGCTGTCGATTTTTTCTCAAACAAACAATCATGCAATACACATTGACATATGAGATAAAGTATTCAAAAAGTGGGTTTAGAAGCCTACCCTTGTGAATACTCTATCAATTCCATCTGATTTCTACTTCCAATGTATATATTTCTTTATATACTTTTGAATACTCTATCCATTCCGTCCGTTTTTTTATCAAACAAAAAGTCATGCAATACACATTCACATATAGCCAAAATACAATTTAACTATGTATACAATGTAATTTTTAAAAATGAAGCAGTAATGACGATCGATAAGAGATGGATTCGTGAAAACCGAACGTTTCCCAAACTCTTGGAAGGTCTTAGAAACTTTATGGAGATTGCTAGGAAACATGTTGACTCTGAACACAAAGTGTGTTGTCCATGCGTAAAGTGTGTGAATATGCATCGACAGTTGTTGAGTACAGTTTATGCCCACATACATAACCGTGGGTTTCTAAAATCGTATACTATATGGATTCATCACGGTGAGAAGCGTCGTGTTTCGGATTTTTGCGTGACAACTCGACTCCAATAAACATTCCAACAACTAATGAGACGTTTGTAATTGATGATGGTATGGCGGAACAAAATACAAATGAAGAAAATACAGATGATGAAGGACGAGGTATGGACCCATAATTCGATGCTTTATTTGAGGAGCTCAATATCGAGTTATACCCTGATTGTGAGATGTCTTATTTAAAGTTTTTGGAAAGTTGTTTCATATTAAAGTGATCAATAAATTGACAAATATTTCGTTTGACCAACTTGTAGACTTGCTAAGAGTTGCTTTCCGGAAGAGCAAGATTCCAACTTTACATTATGAAGCTAAGAGTTGCGAAAGATAGGGTTAGGATTTCAGTCTATACATGCTTACAAATATGATTATGCTTTGTTTTGGAAGTAGAATGATTCCAAGTTGAATTGCCCGATTTGTAATGAGAGTGGATGGGTGGACACAACCACAAAGGAGAAACGAGTACCACAAAAAGTGTTGTGGTACTTTCCTGTAACTCCAAGACTTCGACAGATGCATAGTTCTAGATTCAGAGCTAATGATATGATTTGGCATAATATTGGAATATCAACAGATGGTATGATGTATCATTCAGTAGATGGAAAGTTATGGAAAGAATTTGATAAAAGATATCCAAAGTTTGCCAAAGAACCTAGAAATGTTCGTCTAGGTTTAGCTGTTGATGGCTTTAATCCATTCGGCAACTTTAATAAAAATTATAGTATTCGGATTGTTATATTGACTACTTACAATACACCACCATGGATATGTATGAAAGAGTCTTCTTTCATGCTAACTTTACTGATTCCTGGCCCTAGATCACCCAAAAAGGATACTGATGCTTACTTGAAAACTTTGGTGGATGAGTTGAAAATGTTGTGGGCCGAAGGATTCCAAATGAGAGATGCATCAACCAACACTGTATTCAATATGTGTGCGATGTTATTATGGACTATCAATGATTTCCCAGTATGTAGCAGTCTATCTGGATGGAGTGGTCATGGTTATCTAGCATTCCCTACTTGTAACGAAGACACATCTTCCATTTATGTGACCAACAAGATGTCTTATGTTGGTCACAGATGATTCTTGAATATAAACCATAGTTGGAGGGAAAGTCTACTGTTTGATGGTCCACCTGAGACAAGACCACGTCCTAGACGATTCAGTAATGCAACTATATTAAAGCAAGTAAATTGTCTCTCTAATTGAGTTCTAAGGAAACATTCTGATTATGGGGGTAAAAAAAGAAAGTGTGATGGCGAAAGAAAAAGTGAGAGTTAAATTGGATGAAACGAAGTATCTTCTTTGAGCTTGAGTATTGTTCTTCCCTCGACCTAAAACACAATTTCAATGTTATGCATGTTTCAAAGAATGTGAATTAGTGTGTGTTAAGTACTACACTAATGAAAGATAAAAGAAAAGACAAAAAAAAAAGCAAGAATTGACTTGAAAAATATGGGCATTCGACTAGATCAATGGCCAAAAGAGATAGTCAAGAAGATGAAGAAACACAAAAATGAAGACAACAAGAAGAAAGAAATACTCCCACATGCTTCTTACTCTTTCAAACCAATTGATCGTCAACGTTTCTTTTAATTCATTAAAGGAGTGAGAATACCTGATGGTTTTGGATCAAACTTTAAGAAGAAGGTTAATGATACCGAATCAAATTTGGTTGGGTTGAAGTCTCAAGATCATTACGTCCTCATGCAACATTTTCTACCTATAGGGGTTCGAGCATGTCTACCACCAAATGTTTCAAGAACAATCATTGACATGTCTACATTCTTTAAAAAAATTGTTTACAATCATTGGATGTTAACAATATGAGAAATGCTAAAACAGAAGTGGTGTAGATCTTATGTAATCTTGAGTTGATATATCTTCCATCATTTTTCGACATAATGAATCATCTTATTCTTCATTTACCTGATGAAGCCATTCTTGGAAGGCCTGTACACACGAGATGGATGTATCCTTTTGAAAGATATATGAAAAAACTTAAAATTATGTCAGAAACAAAGTCAAACCAGAAAGTTCAATAGCAGAGGGTAATGTTGCAGATGAAGCTTTGAAATTTTGCTCTATGTATATTGAGGTTATGAAAACTAAATTCAACCATGCTGATAGAAATGATGATCCCGACCTTCCAAAAAGGCAATTTATTGTGTTCTCATCACAATGTCGAATAATGTCGGCTAAGAAAATTGTTGAACTTTGTAAAGATGCCAAAAAATCATTGCATTAGTTTGTACTAAAGAATTGCGATGAGGATGAGATAAGAAGCTACATATCGTAAGTTCCTGATCTATTAACTACATTTTCGACAGTGTTATAAAATATTTTAACTATTCTAATTATTTTTTCGCATATTCAATGAATTCAAATCAGAATTGCCTAAAAGTGATTTCAAA